AACATCTATAGTTGTTGAATCTGGAATTTAGAAAATATATAGAAACCAGAGAGAGAATTTGTACATTTATTGGACTTTTCACTTATTTAATTTAAATTTACCCTAATATGTAAAAGGATTTCTTGTTCTGAATTGCAAAGCAATGCTTGCTCTATTCCTCGTTATTCTTCCAGTATGTTTTAAATGATACACATTTCCTTAAATTTTACAGTATTACAGCAGGGATGTTGATATTTATCCGCTATAGCCAACACTAATTATTTCTTGTTTCCTCAGGGTTTTTTTTTACTGAAGTGAGAGCTTTTGGGAATGTAATGTGAAATAAAATTTTACACCAAATTAACCATTCTGGAAATATAGCTGACTGGAAGAATGTTTCCTGTTAAGCTATTTAGACCTTAAATTTAGCATTCACTTTAAATTCACTTGGGTCTCCTGACAATTCTCACTTTAGTAGATAACCCTGTCTGTGTTTTGGAGACAAACGTGCAGTAGATACAGGAAGATTTGTAAAAGTGTTGGTAACAGAAAACTGGCACAAAATGTAACAATCACCTTGTAAACCAATGGATCCAATTGTAGCACTGTGAACAATGTTTTTTGTGCAGCATCTAATACACATAGAAACATAGAATGTGACGGCAGATAAGAACCATTCGGCCCATCTAGTCTGCCCAATTTTCTAAATACTCTCATTAGTTCCTGGCCTTATCTTATAGTTATACACCTTTTATAAAGTCATGAGTTTATAGTTGTATCTATATGTGTTGCCCCAAACTGTGGTCACGGATTTCCCTTGGACTTTATTAAAAAAAAAGGCTCTAATGTTGAGTCAGATATTCTTTTAAAAATCAACTCTGTGCCCTCTGTTTGGCATTGACACATTGTCAGCCTACTGAACGGGGTGGGTTCCAAACCTATCTAAAATTATGTTTGTTATATTGTTGACTTCTAAATGTGTGGCAGTACTGTCATCAATGTTTCTCAATTTTCAGATTGTATTTACATGTTAGCTATGAGCCAGAGCTCATGCCTTCTCACCAACTTCCACTTGACTCATGTGCCATTTGTATTGTATAATTTTACTCTTTACAGAACACGGTCATTTTTCAATCAACATCTATCCTAGCATGCTGCCTAAACTAACCAATTCTTCCTCTTATATGAAGAATCCTTTCGTTTACCTTTCTAGTTTATAGGAAAGCAAATAAATGGTATATAAATAAGCCTCCATGTCTGTTACATGTCTGTTCGTCCATCCAATGTAAAGTGCTGCAGAATTTGATGGCGCTATATAAATAACATAATAATAATAATAATAATAATCCAATAAAAATATACACCATAATACACAAAGCTATAAAAAAATCAACAGCAAAAAACACAATGTTTCAACGTGCTTAACAATCTACCAAAATCTTTATATTTGTAGTAGAGCTATAAAGCCCCTGATACGGTACACATTCAGAAATAATATGACTGTAAAAAAACATGAATAAAAATTATATACGTCTACGCACTAAACAGAACATTGTTCACATACAACAATGCTTAGTATCAATGAATTCCTCCTAATTGTTAAAATATCAGTTATTTGCTTTCTCTCTATTACAATTTGCTCTTCAATGTGTAAAACATAGCAAGGAGTTAATGATTCTTTGCCTCTGCTCATATTTTTAGGATTTATTGCTAACACTGCCTTTTGGCTGGCCCTGCTGGCCTACTGCCTTACAAAATGGCCTCGGAGCACTGTGGGACGTAAGCCAAAGCACTGAGCTCTGAAATGTTACACACGGTTATTCATTTCAGCCTCTTCTACTTAATGTCTAGATAAAGCTGAGTTGACTTTTGGACACAAACTGTGAATGCTGAGCAAGGTCATTCTACACATTGAAAGGCTGGGTGTTGTCTAAACTAAATTCCTACATCACAAAATGGAACTATATCACTACAAGGGCCAGGATTCCAGAGCGAGGGACAGGGACACCCAGTCCATCAAAGGGCAGTGCATGAAAAGTGCTGAGCTGGGGCAGGGGGAAGCAAACCTTTTCACTAATGAAGGCAGTTAATTTGGGACATCTCTTTGATTAATTGGTATCTTTCCTGCATGCTACATACTATAGGGCAGCAATTTTTACATACTGTTCATCGGCATGAAAACCTGATGGGTAAAACATAATGGATTGGAGACCTTAATTGCAGCAAGATTCAATAATACAATTTAAAAGATTAGCAACATTGTATTCCATGGGTGCAATAATTTTCAGGGAACCAAGTAGTGTTTTTGAGTACTTAGCATTATATGACCCAGCACCCCAGCTTGTTCACTAGTCATCAATGCTCTCTGCACAGATAGTGCCCTGCCTAGCTTCAGTCCAAAATCCAACAATCCAAGGAAGAGCATTGACGCAACAGCAGAGACAATGGAAGAGATTTATCTTAACCTCTTCACCTACTGTCAAATAGTTTTATTCACTAAAGTGAGAATTGAAAGTGAATTCAAAGCGATTTTCAAATTAAAGACTAGAGTAGCCAAACTGAAAGCATAGCTATTGTACACCGCTACAGAATCTGATGGCGCTATATAAATAATAAAATAATAATAATAGCTGACTTAGAGAATTTTTCAATTTTGGCTATTTTAAGGCAGCACACTTTGTACTGTGCTCTTAGAACCATGTATGTTGGACTGCTACAATATCCGAACTAATACATTTTTTTTATTTGACAATTTTTATTGTTTTCCTTATGAATTGTCAACACAGGGAAATTGGGAGGGGGGGAGGGGTACAGAAAGGAAGAAGAGGGGGGAAAGGGGTAGGGAGGGGGAGCATGAATTCAGAGTGAGCTTAGTTACAATTCGATATACAAGCATGTAACATGAAATACATTCCTATCTTTCAATACTGCCCTTTGCTTTGTGCTCTTTGTTTGGTGCATCTCCAGCAGTTTGGTGAGCTGGAGGGATAGAGCCTGTGTAGTTTTTCTGGGACCAGGTACCACCTGTATACTATCTTCATATGCTGTTCAATGAGTGTTGCACACTTTATCAGTTTCCTAGGGGAGTTTACTAATTCCTTCCATTGCTGTTTGGTGAGGTTCCTGCCTAGTTCCCTTTCCCATTGTATCGCTGGTGTAGTTGTTGATAATGGGCTGTAGTCTAGGAGCATTTTGTAGCAGGTAGAAAGAGGTCTGCAGGCTCTGGGGAGTTTGTGGTTGATGCATAAGTTTTCCCATAAAGTGTAGGTAGGAGGGCCCGGGCTATCTTGTGTGGTGTTTTTAGGAGTGTGTGCATGGAGGAATGATGATTATTGTATGTGTGAAAAGTGTGATGTTGGCGGTATGTCGTATGTTTTTTGTAGCGTGTCGAAGTCTATGAGTCTACCTCCCTTATGGATTTGGGTTAGAGTCCTGATGCCTCTCTCTTGCCAAGGCGTTGCGTGGAACTTGGAGATGCAGTATGTGAGGGCCCCTAGTGGCGTGGCCTGTGAGATTCGGGGGTTAGAGCTCTGCTTGTATCTGTGCAGGTCCCAGACTCTCAGGAGCAGTGTGATTTGTGCTGGAATGTCCATCAGTGGTGGTCTGAGCGGTTTGGGGAGCCATAGAACATGTGGAATTTCATATGGTTCCATCAGGTGTTTTTCTAGCGTCACCCACTGAGGGGGGGGCTGGTCTATGAGGTGCGGCATTGCCGATGCTAGTATGGCAGCCTGGTGGTAAGCCTGCACGTCCGGTACTGCTAGTCCCCCCTCCGTCAGTGGTGCCGCCAGCAATCTCCGTGACACTCTCGGTTTCTTTCCGGCCCATATGAATGTGCCAACATCTTTTTGAATTGTTTTGAAGTATGTTTGTGGGAAGATCATGGGCAAAGTCCTAAATACGTATTGTAGTCTAGGGAGTATGGACATTTTAAAAGCAATTATCCGTTCTGTCCAGGTGAGGAATAGGTGGCCCCACGTCTTAAGTATCATTCTACAGTCATTCCACATCCTAATGTAGTTCCCTGGTATTAGGTCTTTTGTCTGTCTGGTAATCTGCAGCCCCAGATATGTGATAAAGTATTTTCTCCACTCAAAATTGTATGTGGTGCGTAGTGTACGGATTAGTTGTGCAGGGAGATCTATCCCTAGGGCTTGCATTTTTGTTGCGTTCAGGGAATAGTAAGATAAGCGGTCGTATATTTGTATTGTTTGCATGATGTGTGGTAGGGAGTATATGGGTCGCGTTATGAAGAGTAGTATGTCGTCCGCGAAAGCGCTGATTTTATATTCGATTTGCTTTATTGTGATGGCTTTTATCAGGGGGTGGGCTCGAATAGTGCGAAGAAGGGGTTCCAATGCTAGTACATACAGGAGAGGTGAGAGCGGGCAGCCTTGTCGCATCCCGTTGGAGATTTTAAAAGGGTCCGATTTGAACCCTGATTGTAGGACTTGTGCTGCCGGGGCAGAGTATAGTGCGAAGATTTGGCTTATTACTGGAGGTGGGAATCCGTACGCCCTCAGAGTTCGGTCTAAGAATGGCCAGCTGAGGCGGACAAAACGCCTTTTCTGCGTCTAGTGCTAGGAGCATTCCCCCCTCCTTAGTTTTCCGTAGGTGCTCTAATAGTAGTGTTAGTTTCCACGTATTATCTAGCCCTTGTCTGCCTGTCACGAACCCTGTCTGGTCATCTCCTATAAGGTCGGGCAGGATGTCTCTAAGTCTGTTAGCTATAATCTTTGCATATATTTTAGCATCGGTATTCTATAGCGATATAGGTCGGTAGTTTTGGCATTTATCCGGGGGTTTTCCCGGTTTCGGGAGGGTGACAATTGTGGCCATGAGCATTTCTGGTGGCAGGGTCCCTGTGTTTGTGGCTGTTTGATATACTTGAAGTAGGTGAGGGGCAAGATCGTTAGCGTACATTTTATAATAGTCATTGGTGAGCCCATCCGCCCCCGGTGACTTCCCATTTGGTAAGCCTGCTATCATCTTCAGGCTCTCCTGTAGGTCTATCGGGGTGGTTAGCGATGTTTTTTGGTCAAGGGACAATTGGGGAGGTTGGTCTGCCTTAGGAAGTCGTCTATTTCTGTGTGACTCGCTATGTATGTAGCGCCCGACAATTGCAGGTTGTATAGTTTGGAGTAGAACTTTGCGAATTCCCTACTGATGTCTGCTGGTGTCTGGTGCTGTGTGCCGTCATCCCCTACAATGCGTGCTGTTTTTGTGTTGGCGTTTCTAGCACGGAGTCTATTAGCTAGGTATTTGTTGGCTTTACCGCTATTATGGTAGACGTTAGCTTTAAGTTTGTGGAGCAAGGTTTTAGTTTTCTCTGCATTTAGTTCTGTCATTCTTGTATGTAGTGTTTGCAATTGTGTTGCTAGTGTTGGTGTGGGATGGTGTTTGTTTTGTTTGGAGATTATGGCTAATTGTTTTTGGCAGTCTAAGAGGTTGGTTTGGTGCTGCCTTTTCAGGAAGGAGGCCCTTCTAATGAACAACCCTCTCATAACTGCCTTGTGCGCTGCCCACACCGTGGTATCTGAGACTTCCCCTCCTCTATTGGTGGCAAAGTAGTCTTGGAGGGCCTCTTTAATTTCTTGTGCAAATTCGGTATTCAGTAGTAGTGAATCGTTCTGTCGCCACGTTCCCCTTCCCTTAAATTGGTATGCGTCAAGTAGGACTAGGTATATCGGTCCGTGGTCTGACCACGTTATGTCCCCTATAGTGCATCCAGTCAATTGTGCTAATAGTGGTCTGTCTATGAAGAATGTGTCTATGCGTGTATATGTGTTGTGGACTTTTGAGTGGAAGGTGTAGTCCCTGTTGCTTGGGTGGAGTGTCCTCCGCACATCATATAGATCGTATTGGTCTATCAGCTTGGTGAAGTGCTTGCTAGTGGATTGTAACGGATCACCTGGCACCCCGACTGGGTACCTCCGTTAAAGGATGCTCCTAGCACTTCCTGAGGACTCCAAGCAGACACCAAAACCACCGAGCATATGAATGCTCTCAAGCATATGAATGTTGTATACAGCCGAATAGGAAAAACCATGCAAATAGGTTTACACTCCTAGCAGTCAAACTGGAACAGCATACAATAAATCCTCCCCAATAATGAGACGACACTTCACTTTGAGGGTTAAGCAGGAACTGACTGTACTGGCACATACAGCCTCTTTTATTCCCAATCCACAAATTTAGTACTGCCCACAGGGTTTTACAGAACAACCAATCAATCTGTACAATACACACAGACACTCCCACACAAAATCCTCCCCTCTGCCTGTGATATGATTACTGAACACAATGGTTAATCTAATTATCACAGGCAGAGAAATACAGTATCATAAAACACATCACAAGGACCCCAAAACATGCAATAACCCCATAAAGTATATCCTTGGAACCGGGGGATCTGGGTGAACCACATATCCAAAATTCCCCCAGATCCGTTCAATACTTTGGAAGATACAGTTTAATGCAGATTCCACAGAACATATGCAAGCTAAATGAAAAACAATTACTGTATAATGTGTCCCCTGTTGTATAGTCCAAAACCACTGCACGATGTCTCTGTGCACCAAATACCGGCGAGATGGCACCGTGTTGAAAAGTCCAGTGTCTGTGAGTTAAAATGGCCGCTATCTATTGTTCTTACCATGTGCTTCATCCATTGTTCTCACCATGTGCCTCTGATACAGGAAATAGTGGCCACCCAGTAACTCCACAGTATGTCCCCAGATGGTTCTTAAAGGGCCAGCAGCAGCACAACACAAATCCCTTATGCCCAAATCATGTCTTTAAAAGGCAATACATCCCAGGGGCCATAGTCACATGGCAGGAGGCTGGCACTCAGTCTTCTCCAATGCCCAGTGGCGAGGTCGGTTTCGCCACATGGATACCATCTTTTTCTTGCTGTTCCCCGTGAGAGTGGCCGTTGTGTCTAATGTGGGTGATTGTATGCAGTTGAAGTCTCCGCATAGGATTAAATTGCCCTGTTTAACTTTATCTAGCTTGTGGAGTAGCATGTGCAGGAATTTCCCTTGGTTCTCGTTGGGGAGATACGTGGTTACGAGTGTAAGAGTGGTGTTATTGAACTGGCCTACCAGTATGATATATCTGCCCTTTGGGACTATACAGTGTTGTTGTATCATGACTGCAACCTCTTTGTGGATGAGGATGGACACCCCTTTTGATTTTGTGGAGGCTAGAGAATGGAATTGTGTGGGATATTTCTTCATATAGATAGCTGGGGTGTGATCGTTCCTAAGATGAGTTTCTTGGATGCACGCTATGTCAACTCCCTGTTTTAGGAGATCTTTAAGTAGTAGTCTACATTTACCCAGGGTGTTTAACCCTTTCACATTATAGGAGACTAATTTCATAGTTGTGTATTGGAGTGCCTCTAAACCTTACGTGGCTCCATCTCCCTGAGATGTACTCCATTGCCTTCATTGTAGTGGTGTGGCGGTAACTTGTAGATTGTTTTGCTTTGATGCTTAGGGGGTATCGGGGTAGGGGGGACACTGCGGGGTGGTGGAACCTTGGGGGTTTATAACAAACAGTCGGCCGTATGCCCGAAATAACTGCTCCATAGGGAGCTGAAATGTGCCGGGAGAGTCCCATCCACATATTACATGGGGTTGGGGTATGAGCCCGGCCATCCTCCGGTGACTCATTCGTGGCCTTAGCGGTGGGATGTAGCATTGGAACTCCTTGGGGGCAGGTGCCTTTAGAGGGCTTAGTTCCGTGTTACTGCCGCTATGTGACCCTCAATGGATTGGGCTTGTGCTTCCGCTGCCCTGGCAACTAACTGTCTGGCCCTTAACTTTTAGATAAACTTTTTTAACATAGTACGTTTTTTACAAACATCCTCTGTGGGAACATGAATTATAACCGTGGTAAACATAAAACCTTTTCTCTGGGTGTCATGAGTCTCTGGTACTCTGTATAGAGGGTAGCAGTGACTTGCCTCTCTCAAAGGTGGTTACCCTTAAGTGTTCAGGTAGTGGACCAGTCTCTTGTAACCCTGGTAGTTGTGGTAGGGTGCTGTTTCAACTCACCCGAGATTTGGATGCCCCAGTCCTTAAGTTGGTTGAGGCCTTTTTCTGCATTTGTTATCACGTGCATCTTCCCTTCCCGGTGGATCAACAGCTTGGCGGGGTATCCCCATCTGTAGGCTATGTTTTTCTCTCTCAGGGTGGTGGTGATCTGCGCCAAGCTTTTCCTGTATTGTAGGGTTTCTGCTGACAGGTCGGCGAAGATTTTAATGTGCCCGTATGGATCTGGCATGTCAGCCGTCCTGCTTGCCTTCACAATCTGTTCCTTCACATGGAAAAAGTGGATGCGTGCTATGACATCTCTCTCTGCTGTTGGCAGGAGATGCTGTGGTCTTCTAAGGCGGTGTACCCTATCCACTACCAGTTGGTCCGGCTGTGTCTCTGGGGCAAGCGTCTGGAACATGTCTTGGAGGTAGTCATGTAGGCCCGTTGGTAGTACCGTTTCAGGGGTGCCCCTTATCCAGATGTTATTTCTCCTTGACCGCTCCTCTAGATCAGCCATTTTAATTTTTAACGCTTGTAGGTTTGCTTCTTGTACTTTCACTTTATCTGCCAGGCAGTTGTGTGCATCCACACATTCATCTAGTTTCTGCTCCACTTGAGCTGTGCGCTGGCCTAATTCTGCTATGTCCTTCCTCATCTCTGCTGCCAGGCCCTGCAGTTGTTTTTTCATGTTTGCTTGGAAGGTGTCAGCTAATTCTGAAAGCATCAGCTTCATAGAGGTTGCTGTGAGAGGCTGTTCCTCCGCTAGGGAGCCTGTGGAAACTGCAGGAGAGAGGGTTCCCTCGCGGGAGCGGTTCCCAACGCCATCTTGGATGGGGCTGCCAGCCTCCCGCGGCTTTTTACTGGGGGATCTTGCCAAAAAGAAGGATTCTCTTTCAGCTTTAGCTGTCCTTTGCTTCTGTCTGTGGGTCATTGTGCGTCCTGCTGTGCCTCAATTATCACTTTGCATATATTAGCAGGAGCTTTACATGTGTGCGTCCATGCCGATCGAGCTCCAGGCCACGCCCCCCCGAATGAATACATTTTAAATAAAAAGAAAAGGACTGTGACAGCATCAGATTGGCATTTGTCAAATATATATGAAGTGAAAAAATATACAAAACATGTCACAGGCCATCACCACGCGGCTATGCAGAATGGATTCATTTAAGATAATGGAATAGTTTTTTAACCTTTTTATAATGTAGGTTATTAGTGTCACAGCAATGCCAGGGCCGGATTTGCCATAAGGCCACAGAGGCCGTGGCTTAGGGGTAACAGGCAAACGAGGGGCCAAAGGGCTGGTGGGGATCTCCCTCACCCGCCAGCCGATTCTCCTGCTTTCTGGCCAGGCTAGGCAACAGGGGAGATCTCAATATTGTATTACAGCGTTGCTGCGGCGTAATACACAATTGTGATTTTTTTTTAATTAGGCATTTTTAAAGCAGCTCATGAGCCCCTATCTATCATACTACAATTCTAATCCTCCCCCTGCAGCCCCTGTGATTGGTGAAAGGTCAATATTCTATCTTTATGAAATACAAATTTTTCACGGGGAAGAGTGACAGTGCAGCTTTAATTGAATACCCCGAAGTGTTGTAAAAACAATATTTAGTCTGTGAAATGCTATTTTAAAATGTTGATTTCGTTCAGTATTTTCTTTTTAAATCAGAGTCTTGCTAATTGACTTTTTGTCATTCTGCATGAAATAATTACGTTTTTTTTTCATGTGTTCATGTTTACACATTGGGTAGTATTTTTAACTAGAAGAAATGTGTTCAATATAACTTTTCCAAAATAGAACATCTTGGACTATTTTCGTGTTTTTTCAAGTTATGCCTCATTGCGTGATTCTATCTTTTCCCAGATCTGGATTCCACCCAACGGCTGGACCAATGCATGGACAGATTAATGCCCTTCTGCCTCCAGCAGGTGTGCTTAGCATATTGTCTAAAAACGTAATGAGAATAATAAAAGTTTCCCAGGTCACAAACAGTTATCTCCAATAAGATGAGATATACGGTTTGAATGATTTATTCTTCCTTGTGCCTGTTTTTGCTTGCAAGCCAAACAATTATGTGATATTTTCCAAACAATCCATATGTTTGTAATTATCTAGTGAGAGTTTGACTATTGCTTTTCCCTTGTCCCCTGGCTCCAGAGGAAAGCACAGTTAAGTCCTTCTGCTTACTGTAGGACAGGAGAACTCACAGGATGGATGTATGGTCAAACTTCAGCAGCTGCCTCCAGGGTCTGTCATTTATTTTATTTTTTTCTCTGTAAATTACGGAGGAAGCCAGATGCATTCATTCAATTCAGAGAGGAAGGCAAATTAGCCACCCAGGGAAAAAACACCATTAAAAAGTATTTACTATAGTACGAAAATGAAAAACATTACAGGGACACCTAGCACATTTGGTGCGTTGATTGGGCAGTCAATCACAGACAATGAGCTAAAAGACTTTAATGAGATTCATAATCATGCACAGACTAGTTGCGTTATTATGCTCAATTATTAATTTTTGTATGAATAAAACATTTTAAGGAGTCTTGGCTGGTGTTATAACTTCTATGTATAATGGTACTGCAGTGATGGGCTAGCAAAGACCCTATATTAATATTGTACTCTGCTAATAGATATCCCAAAATGCGTCCTGCTATTTATATCCAAAGGGGAATGGAGTGATGCTATGGCTCACAACCTCACTATGAGAAATTGCCTCCAGAACGCACAACCCTTATGTAAACAATCACCCTTCTGCCCCACATTCCAGCATTCCCCGAGATAGCAAAAATGACTATCATTGAAATAAGGTCTATTTTAGCAATTACTGGCTTGTTGGTAAATGGTTACAACGGGCATAGAAACATGTCTATGCTCTCCTTTCAACTGTTAAGCATAGTGGAGATATGGTTTGGGCAACCATTTTGTAGCAGTTTGTAAAATGTTTGAGGTGTCACTTTTGCAACATTTGAACAAAAACATCTTGTGTAGTTTCCATCAATCACAGAAAGATGGTTCACATTGTGTAGTAAAGTTTCAGACCTCTTTTATAGCTGACACATTCTGCTACAACCTAATATTATATACGGTTGCAGCTTCAATTTACTTTTTACAATCTGTAGTTAAAGAATTTTTTATATTTCACAAGATACAAAGAACGCGAAAAATAGAATTACGTTAAGTGTTCACGCAACAAAATGGAGAGCGTTATTAGTGAGATATAAACATTACAATGAGTGAAAACACATGATCAGTGAAAAGTCACAACACAGCAAAATTAAATACAAAATAATGTCAGATAGTAAACAGGCAAACGTAGCAACCTGGTATCAACACGACATATCGCCTGGACTGTTTGTTGCCTGACAAAACAGCAAGATACATCAGAGGGTGCAGGCAGAGAACTGTCAATTATTCCAAACAGCTTTGTAGACCTAATGCCTCACTGACACACAATGAGCTACAATGAAGGCCCCAAACTGTAGGATAAAGAGGTGTGGATATCTATATTTCATTATTTTTTAACACCTCACAAATACTTCACACCTCACAAACAGAACATTAAGAATAATGGGAAGTGGTAGTTTCCTTTTAAACAAAACTAAAAGAAACAAAGTACACTAATAGCAAGCTAGTGCGTGCGTGTCTGCCTGCTTTATGGGGGAAAAAAAAAAATATTTTAAAAAAAAATTTAAGAAACAACAAAACACAAACAGTTACCCTGAATGATTGTTGTGTGAAAATACATAAACCTGGCAAACAGTTGAAAGCTCTGAAACAAGGGAATTAAAACAAAAAGAAAAAAATTAAGAGGCTTTACAAAGAAACCTCCTAACCTGGCTGCATTATAACAGATAACTAGGATTTAATATTTTTTGATGAAGTTTTAAATTGAATTGAAGATAAGACTCAGGTGCTCTAGACAAAACCAAATGTTGCAAGCTCGTGAAGCAAAAAAAAATTTAAAAAAATGGCCAGATGATTAAAAGATCACTATAAGGTCAGGAAAACAAACATGTGTTCCTGACCCTATAGTGTTAACACCACCATCTAGCCCCCCTGGGCCCCTCATGCCTCCATAAATATAGTAAAAATCTTACTGTATTCAAGCCTGAAGCTGTAAATCTGCATGATGTTAGACTCAGAAAAACAAGCAGTCTGATGACATCATCAGAAGTGGTAGCCTGATCCAATCACAATGCTTCCCCATAGGATTGGCTGAGACTAACAAGGAGGCAGATCAGGGGCAGAGCCAGCATGATTCAAACACAGCCCTCGCCAATCAGCATCTCCTCATAGAGATGAATTGAATCAATGAATCTCTATGAGGAAAGTTCAGTGTCTGCATGCAGAGGGAGGAGATACTGAATGTTTGGATGCATTTTAGGCAGCCATGACCCAGAAAGGATCTCTAACAGCCATCTAAGGAGTGGCCTGTGAAGTTTTTTTTTTTGAAATTCTTTATTTTATCGTGCAAGAAAGGTACATAGTAACAAGCAACGCCACAACAGCGATTGCAAGCGAAATGATCAACATGTTAGAGACAATTGTTTGGCATAATAGAACATTGCACATTTTATATATTAATGTAGATTTGTCAAGAGTGGAATCAACATGTCAGCTAAGAGATAAGGGAGGCAGGTTATACATGTAGCATAAACAAGCTGGCATTATTGAAGTATTATGGGGTCGCATGCTTAGCTGAAGCACATCTTGTCTGTGCGCTGCTTAAGATCATAAGCTGAACAATTCGCTGAATCAACACAAATTCTAAAACAAAATAAAAATACTGAACATATGGGTAACAGGTTAGTTCAACATGTCTAGGGATGTAATAGAGGATAAGCTGATGGTTTGGAGTGTCATGTTTAGCTTTAGTGTGTGTAGTCGCATATAAGCGTAGAGTGAAGCATATCAAGACTATTCGGTTCGACTGCGCTTGTGTGGTTGAGGACCCAAGGGCTTCTCCCAGTTATGGCTGCGTGTACAACATATTATCAACATTACAACATTATTATATCAAGACATCCGTGCGGCTAGGTTAACCGATTCTGCTTCAGGTTTAGGGGCGTCAAAAAACAAGCAAGGCTCACACTGACGCCACGCTGTACAGCAGGGGACTCGTGTGGGTCCCCCTCTGTTAGGCAATCTAGTCAGGGCAAGCTTGCATCATGTTGGAGTCTGGGAGAGTACTCCCAGCGCGTCCGAGGGCTGGGCTCATGAACGTGGGTTCAAAAATACAGTGCTAAGCCTACGAGGCTTGTGTAGCAGAATCCCCTGCATTGCAATTTATCACTGCGAATATTAGTTAAGAGAGTATAGCACATGTTAGATTTACTGCGCTTTTTCTTTGTAGGTTACATTACCCCCACGTATACCGAGTGGGGTATTTAATGGTTGGCCGCTAATCGCAGGTG